GATAGCCTGCCTGTATGGCTCAGAGGTTGAGAATCAACCAGGAAGTCACGGTTTAATTCCCAGTCAGGGCACATGCCTTGGTGTGGGCTCAATCCCCAGTTGGAGGCGTGCAGGAGGCAACCAATCAATGATTTTCATCATTGATGTTTCTATCTCTTCCTTTCCCTTCCTCTCTGAAATTAATAAAAATACAAATTAAAAAAATACAATTATTTTTAAAATGGTAAAGATAGGCAGGGGCTCTTTGTGGTTTTGCCATAGACTTTCTGGTTAAATAAGAGTTTGTTACACAATATAATACCTGAATTTTTAAAAATGGGGGAAAATAAATAAATAATAAAATAAAATTTTCTAAACAAACAAAAAGTTTAATAACTGACCCCCATTCTTCTCTAATCCAGTCTGGCAGCTCAAAAAGCAGAGATATGAAAGTAGCACTCTTAAACTCTCCTTTCTTAAATATTATAACAGGAAATTGAATGAAAGGTTTTAAGTTCACTGATCCTCAGCACAGAGACATGGAGATCTAGTCATTTGTGTTTAGCAGAGGGAATGCCTCCTGGTTTATATTTTGGGAAATAAAAATTAAAAATTTTTGTGAGAAATTAAGCACATAGGTATGTGGTTTTAATGTAGAAGAATTGACTTATCATGCTCTATATTTTAAACACTTTTCAATTTTTTGATATTTGGTAATACTTGTGTTAGGTTGAACCATATTTTTGTTGGTCAAAATGGTCCCATATTGTCCATTCAAATCCAGTAGGTTAGCAACACCCTGATCAGGAAATAATATTTTGTAAAAAAAAATGGCAAATAAAATGTTATTTTTTTTTTTCTGAAATGAGTAATTATTTTTTAAATATCTGTTAAGAATAAGACCATGCCAACCAGACAATATTTTCTTTTTCCCCTTTCTTTGAGAATATAGTCACTATCAGAAGAAAGCATATGACATTATTTTATACTTATTCTCTGTTTTTGGTTCATGTATCAGTTTATTTCTTTTATAAATCAAAACAAGATTTTTCCAGGACCAGCACTATGAATTCAAACTGATAACTTGAAAATTAAGGAGTTTTGTCTCTGCTGCTTGCATGCATACCAAATGTGTCTCCTGACAGTAAAGATTCTGGCATCATAAGTTGGCTGCCAGTTTTGTGGATATGGGAGACAGAATAGAATAGAATCTGCTCTTCACTTCAGTGCAATAAATTTTCAATCCTGGCAGGAACAAAAAATTGTCAATTAACCCAGCAGACATGACTGACATCCCACAGTGCTTCATACTCGACTCTATTTAGGATTTCCCCCCCCCCCCCTGAATAAAACCTCAAGTGACAACACAATACAGTGATGGCAGTTGTGAAGTGTTTCTGGTTTGGTTTTGTTGCTTTGTTTTTTCCTTGGGTAATATTTCTTTGTCGTTGTCCCTTGAGATTCCTGGAACCAACTCAAGAATATTGGTACCTGATTAAAGCTTAATGGTACCAATAGATTTTTCCTGACGCTATCCTATGACTACAATTCTAGTGGGAAATTTTTTTCACTACAGGGTTAATATCCTTAATTTATAAAGCACTCTTACAAATAAAAATTATCACCCCCATAGAAAATTGAGCAAAGGACAAGAATAATTCTCTCTCTCTCTCTCTCTCTCTCTCTCTCTCTCTCTCTCTCACACACACACACACACACACACACACACACACACTCACACTCTTTTCCTTTTTTTCTCTAATGCATATGTGGCCAATAAACATGTAATCAGTTTTTAACGTGAAAACATGGTTGATAAAACATATTCTTACTGCCAGTCCTTCCTGCAGAGCCCATAAAATGTCAGTAAAGGATTAAAAATTGCAAGAAACAGAAGCCTGTGCCAGCAATAGTGAGAACCCAACAACAGGTTGGTTCTTGTTATAGAATATCAGAACAGCTCAGAAATTGGAAACATCTGGTATCTCAGAAAGTAGAGATGCAGGTAGGCCTAAATTCAGGATTGGTTGCAAGCCTCTGTAAAGTAATAAGTTTAAATCTTAGAGTGGCTAGAACCTAGTAGGTGCTCAGTAGTGCATTCACTCAATAGATGCAGGCATTGTTTCTGAGAGTTTGGGATAGATATGAATGAAATGGATAGAGAGTTAGAAACATCAATGATGAGAAAGAAACATCGATCAGCTGCCTCCTGCACACCTACTGAGGATGTACCCACAACCAAAGTACATGCCCTTGACTGGAATCGAACCTGGGACCCTTCAGTCTACAGGCACTCCACTGAGCCAAACTGGTTAGGGCTGGTTTATGTTTTTCCTATATTTTTATCATTGTTTTTGAGTGTATTTCTACTTAAAAAAATTTTTTTGAAAAGTTAGCCGTATTATGCCAGCAGCTTCATATATCTCATATTTACCATGTCTTTTGATGGCACTATTTTCTCCTGTGCTTGATTTAATCTTGTGTTGTTTTATTCATCATGGCCCCTAAACATACAAAATCTACCACTAATGTTGCTAGTAACATTATGTTGAGTGATTGACTTGGAAATGAAATTAAAAGTGATTCAGGACTTTTCCACAAAGATGGAAAATCCGATGGTTATTGGTCAGTCAAGCATGCCCCATTCTACCATAGGTATGATCTTGAAGAACAAAGTGATGGAAGCTGTTGAAGGATCTGCTTCATTGAAGGCATCAAGACCAAAAAAAAATTGAGAAGAGCCTATATCAAACATGGAGAAACTTCTAGTGACCTACATTGATGACCAAGCACAGAAGCATATCCTTATAACCCCCATAGCAATCATGGCCAAAGCAAAAGGCTGGACTCGACTACAATATTGAATTTACTGCTAACTCTGGGTGGTTTAAATGATCAAAGAATTGTTATTCATTACATCATGTGAAAGTGATTGGTGCATCTGCAAATGCTGATGTGAAGAATTTTCGAAAATTCTAGATAAATGATTGAGGAGGAAGATTACTTTCCAGAACAAATACAGCTTATAAGCAAATCTATGATGGAAAAAAGCAATCAAGCAAACCACAATGGACATAGTTCCGAACAGAATAACACTTCCTCAAGAAGAACCTTAGGCAGATCCCTCAGAAGGTATTTTAGAAAACAATGTTATCAGAGGAGATGACCATTTCATGCATGTTACTGCCCCTGAAGACTTTTCAATGGGATACAGTGTGGAAGTGGAAAATAGTGACATAAATTATCCTGATCAGTACAGGCCTAAGCTAAAAATGAAAAATTTTTAATAGTAAAGCTTATCCTATATAATAAAACCCTAATATGCAAATTGACCAAATGGTGGAACAACCAGTTGACGTGCACTGATCTCCAGGGGGCAGATGCTCAATGCAGGAGCTGACCCCCTGGTGGTCAGTGTGCTCCCACAGGGGGAGAATTGCTCAGCCAGAAGCCAGGCTCATTGCTGGTGAGCACAGCGGCAGTGGCGGGCATCTCTCCCACCTCCTCAGCAACACTAAGGAGCAGCGAGCAGGTGGGCGGTGTGGAACAAGGGGTCCCGGACTGTGAGAGGGCACAAGCCAGGCTGAGGGACCCCCCTCACTAAGTGTTAATAATACAATAGAGGTGAAAAGCTTTAAAAATTTAAGTTTAGCCGAAACCGGTTTGGCTCAGTGGATAGAGCATCAGCCTGCGGACTGAAAGGTCCCGGGTTCGATTCCGGTCAAGGGCATGTACCTTGGTTGCAGGCACATCCCCAGTTGGGGCTGTGCAGGAGGCAGCTGATAGATGATTCTCTCTCATCGATGTTTCTAACTCTCTCCCTCTCTTTCTCTCTGTAAAAAGTCAATAAAATATATTTTTTAAAGAAAAAAATTTAAGTTTATAAAGTAAAAAAGTTATAATAAGCTACAGTTATTTTATTATTGAAGAAAGAAAAATATTTTTTGGCAAATTTAGTATAGCCTTAGTGTCCACTACTCTCCCAGAGCAATTTCCAGTCCTACAGGCTCCATGCATGGTAAATGTCCTATGCAGATGTACTTTTTTTAAAAAAATATTTTACACCATATTTTTACTGTATCCTTTCTCTGTTTAAATACACAAATACTTACCATTGTGTGACAGTTGCCAACAGTGTTCGGTACGTGCTGTAAAGGTTTGTAGCCTAGGAGCAGTAGGCTATACCATCTAGGTTTGTGTAAGTACACTCTGTGATGCTCACACAAGGACGAATCACTTAATGATGCCTTTCTTAGAACATATTCCCCTCAATAATGGATGCATTATTTTACTTAACTCATAAAAGTCAAAGTGAGTTCTCGACTGCAGGCAGACTGAGACATGAATCTGTCCTATTCTCGATATACCAAAAGACCTCACCTTTGCAAGAGCTCTGAATTCCACATCTTCATTGTTCCACAGGCTCCCGCCTTGGATTATCTGCTGTGTGTTCATTGAGCAAAACCCTGAGAATATAGCAGAATATAAAGCATGGGAAGCTTAAATTGTAATAAGACATAAATATATTAAAAAGTTAAATAAGAGAATTTGTTAAGATTGCATGACAACTTCAATTTGAAATGACCATTTTACACATTTTTAGGAGTACTATACTTAAAAACGACAGCTGATAAGTAGGTCATCATCTTTTCCTTTGGTGACATGGTAGCCTAGGGTGAGACCACCAACTCTCTCATTTGAAATAGATTCTAAGTCTGGTCTTCACATTCTTCCTGGCCTGGCTGTAATTTAAAATGTTTACCCTTATTTTTTTCTCTTTTATAATGATGATTATAGGGAAGTCACTTGGTTGTTGTGCTAACTTTTAAACAGTAAATTCTTAAAGTTTTGCAATGTCTTATCTTCTCAGGGCCGGGTTCTCACCTCTATTATGTTGTCCAGAAACTTTCTTTTCCTAAGCTTTTACTAGCCTTAAAAATAGAAGTTATTTTGACCTGGAGCCCACTTTGAGGGAATTGGGGGCTGAATTCTCTGAACTCTCCTTAACTTAATGCCTCAAGATATGTTGTCACAGAATTGATGCAGAGTGACCTACATAAAATTATCGTGTCTCCTCAACCACTCAGCTCAGATCATGTCAAAGTTTTTCTTTATCAGATTTTGCGAGGTAAGATTTTCTTTATCAAGAAAAAGATAGTGTCACTGTGTAAATGAAATGTTTTACTTTTCATTTGACCTTTAATCTGACCTTCCAATGTTTTCTTTTTTCCTAAATACTTTTATCTTTTGACCAAGGTCTAGTTAATAATCTCTATACTTGATGTTAAATAAGAGGCTTTTAAGGATAGTCAAATGGTTCTTATTTTTAGTGATGGAATGGAGTGCCCTGTCTAATTTATTAGGCGGTTGAGTAGGTCAGTCTATACAGGTGAATAAGCAGGATGGTTTGTTAAGCAGCAGTGGTTTAGTACGAGATGACTACTAGTAAATTGAGAAGTCTCTGTGTGTTCCCCATGGATGTCATCCTTTCTTTTAGCCAGTTTTAGGTGGTCCTGATCAGAGTGTTGGCTGAATCCAACTCTAGGAAAACAAAATGATTATTAAAGTGAAAGCATGGAGGAGACTGATAGAAACAGCCAACTAAATTATTCTCAGTTCTGGTTTATTAAAGAGCAAGGACTTGATAGAGAAGCGATTTGGGCTAACAGTGTTGGAGTTTTCTCTGGCCATGAGGTGCGTGCTTCAGAATTTTTGCTATTACAAATTGAGAATTGTTTAAAGCTGAAACGGCTTTCTGACCTAAAAAATACTCCCCCACTTCCCACTGCCAAGATTCATGGAATTAAGACATTCTTTATAAGATTGAAAAGCATCAGCCAAAACATATGCACAATATTAAAACTTAAAAAGCCCACCTTCTATAGTTGTGTGTTGCTATTCAGCAGAGGGTGGAGAGGGGAGATATTGGAACTTTTTTATTGTTGTAAAAAATGTGATTTGCTATATTTTATTCAAAAGACAAGCCTTAAAGTTATGACCTTTTTCTGGCAGTGCTAAAACTCCCTGTCTTTTAAAGTGTAGTTTATTACCCTCTGGATTCTCAGGGGTAGAGATACTACCAACAAACCTGGGCCAGTTTCTAAATTTTGTTGCTTCAGTGAGTATCCTGGGAAAGTCCTGAGAAAGACTCGCTGTTGGTTGATGGGAAGTATTTTGTTGGAGCATGCTCAGAATCACAGGTTGGGGTCATCAATAGGAGAACTCCAATAGCCATACTTAGAGTAACTTAAGGATAATTGTCAGCAGCATTTGGGCCAGAAAAGCTTATCTGTACAAACCTAAATAATCTTTTGAATTGTAGGTATTATCTCTAGATTATGTAAACCTTTTATGACTATTTTACTGTAGCAAAATTATATTTTTTGAGCTAAGACTAAATCAAGCTTTTTAATCATGATCACTCCGCAGTTAGTTAGGGAACCATTTAAAATCCTGTATTCTCTGTTTCTATGGTTTTCCCCAGATCAGTGGTTGAATAAAAGGAATTAAATATCTGCACTTAAATCTGCTTGTTATTTCAGGTTTGAAATATCTCCATTCAGCTGGCATTTTACATCGAGACATTAAGCCAGGGAATCTCCTTGTGAACAGCAACTGTGTTCTAAAGGTAGCTTTTCCGTTTATTTAAATATCTGAGAAAAACATCAGAATGTCATGGCAGATTTAAGAAAAATATGTTTTTCTCAAAGAAATCCTTATTATTTTCATCACTTAACCAAAAATTAAAGAACCCAGTTTTCTCTAGTGATATCTCTAGTCATGGCTATTGTAACTAATTTGTAGTATTGCCTCAGTTTCTTCATGATACTTTGCATATGTTTTGGAAAACCTGAAATTGGAATTACAATGGAACTAAAATATTATAATAGAGGTGATTTCTTTTCAGATTATTCCATTATTAAAGGAAGTATATATCAGAGGAAATACCAAAAGACCAGTAAGATTCTATTTATATGAAAATGAAGTATGACTTTTTTAAGAAAACTGTGTTTTTACACAGCTAACATTTTTATATGCTGTTAGCTGTAGCAAAATAGGAAAATGGAAACATTTAAAAGTGAAAACACTAAGCTAGAAAGGGGTCAAGTGTTTATCTGTTAATACATATACAGTATTCTCTTCTGAAGGAGAATTGCTTATGGGATTAATTATAGTTAGCCCAAAATTTTCATATGTTAATTACATTTTTACTTTTCCTCTAATACCACCTCCTCCCCATTGTCTTTGTTAGTAACTCAAAAATAGCAAAACCCACATATGTGCATTTCCCCATCACTAATAAAGATATATATTAGCAGAACTCGTAAAAAGTGAGAGATCCACCATATTTTCCCCCATCAAAGGAATTACAGTTAAGGGTCTTCCTGGGGCTGTGTCATCTCTGTGAGAAAATCAAAATTCCACTTATTTTATGAGTAATGACAGTATTTATGGTGCTTCACCTACAATAGATGTAAAATCTTAACATTTTAACTGACATATATGAAAAAGAAAAATTTTTTAAGTGTTTTCTACTTTATTTTTTAAAAAATATATTTTATTGATTTTTTACAGAGAAGAAGGGAGAGAGATAGAGAGCTAGAAACGTCTGTGAGAGAGAAACATTGACCAGCTGCCTCTTGCACACCCCCTATCGGGGATGTGCCCACAACCAATGTACATGCCCTTGACCGGAATCGAACCTGGGACCTTTCAGTCCGCAGACCGACGCTCTACCACTGAGCCAAACTGGTTTTGGCAAAATGTTTTCTACTTTAATCAACAGGGGGGAAGAGACAGGTGAAAAAAGTGAAGGGTATTAAGAGGTACAGATTTCCAAGTTAAAAATAAAAGTAATCCAGACTATCATTATTGCTTAGCTTAATTTGTAGATAAATTAAATATTAAAGCCAAATATATGTGAATTTCACTTTTTATTTTAAGTGCTGTCTTTCCACTGTATGCCAGTTTTCTTTAAAAACTGGTGCGTTATGCTGCTTTTGAATAAAAATTTTCTCTTCATACAGTTTCAAGAACTTTGTTCCTGTTTTGACCCTAGAAAGCTAAAAATCTATTTTTCGTATTTTATCTGAAAACAGCTAAAGTTGTAGTTTGGTCTTTTGTTTCCTTTCCACAAAGAAATTAATTATCCCCAAAATTCCTTGAAGTAAATATTCCATCATAGGTCATTGGGTTCATTCCCCTGCTACCTATCCCCATTCAAAAAACTAAAAGTATGTATAAACCTTATAGTCAGGAATTCTTTGTTCTATTCAGACCAAATCAGTTTTATGACAACTTAGCCAGTTTCTTATTTCAGTTTCTGTTGGGAGAATTTCACAAAGCATTTTGTGTTTTAGCTGTCATGCTTGATGCCATTAACTGCTTGAGGTCCATTTTCCAAATTGTCTGTTATGGTATTGTAACCTCTGGCTACATGAATAAGTAACTAAAGGAAAATGTCATTTATGCATAAACAACACAAATTGAAATTTTTCTCTGCTCCCTTGACTTGTCTCAGTGGCCTACTTTTAAAAACCATAGTAGAATGAAGGCTCTCTCTTCTCAAATGTACAAATTCATCAAAAATATTTTGGTAAAATATTTTTTATTTTTAAAACAATTTTTAATTGATTTTTTTAGAGAGGGAGAGGAAGGGAGAGGAAGAGAGAAAATGATGTGAGAGCGAAACATTGATTGGCTGCCTCTTGCACGCCCTCTACTGGGAATCAAGCCTGAAACTTGGGCATGTGCTCTGACCAGACATTGAACATTCAACCTTTCAGGGCACAGGACCATGCCCAGCCAAATGAGCCACACTTGCCAGGGCATGATAAAACATTTATCTTAAATTAAATTAGTATCTTCTCATTATGATTTATTTTTTTCCTGTTAAGCACAAAATGGATAATTTTGCTGGAAATCTTAAATATCTTTTTGGTTATCTGATCATATAAACTTTTTACTTTGATGTAGCTTGTATTCCAGATAAATTGCCAAAAATGACTCCTTATGTTTTGTTTTGTTTAAAAACATTCTTACTAATTTTTTTAGAGAGGGGGAGAGAGAGAGAATGATAAACATTAATGTGAGAGTGAAACACCCATCATCTGTCTCCCCACGCTCCCCAGTGGAGGAGCAAGCCTGAAACCTGGACATGTGCCCTGACCAGGAATCGAACTGGCCACCTCTCAGTGCACAGGAAAATGCCCAACCAACTGAGCCACACTGGCTAGGGCTCCAGACTGATGTTTTTAACAAAGGACTTGCTTTATAACAGAAAACACTTCTTGTTGGGTGGGTGGTGGGGTGTTTGTTTTTGAATATGAGTACAAAAAAGATATAGGGAAGTGGAAATATGTTCTTTGCTTCTGTTTTGTTTTTTAAAATATGCTAAAAATTCATGGCCAGCTAATAGAGTTTTTAAAATTATATGTTATTGAACACTAGCCTATGTAGTGTTTGAATATCCCCATATACAAATACGAATTCATTTGATGAGACCAGACATAATAAATTGAAGACAGAGAGAATTGCCAAAAATTAGGTGTAAAATTTGTTTCCATTGAAGTAGTGGTATTTTATTTTCAAATAAAATCATATGCAAGAACCTCAACTTAGAAAACAGACAAAAAGTGTTATTTTGTCATTTAAAATATTGACTCATAAAGTTAATAAATGAGAACACTGGAGCTTAAATGGCCATTACTCTCTTATCCTCAATGCTCCCATTGTTTGTTTTGGTTGCCTGGTATCAAGAAAATCTTAATTTATAAAAGTAAGCAGAAGTTGCTGGCACTGCAACTATTTACTAACAGCTCGCCTTGCAATCTCAGCATACTTTTTAATTGAAAAGAAAAACCAAAAAAGATTTATTTTTAGGTCTGCATATTTATTAACCAGTCTTTCTCATTTACTGTTATGTCTCCAGGTTCTAGGATACTGCCTAAAACATACAGGCACTCAATTAAATATTTATGGCATGAAGAAACGAATGAATCTAGTAATACTGGTATTATACAGTTTACTACATTTTTACATGTTCACACATTTGAGTATGCATTAGTCTTTTAAATAGATACACGTGAAGTTTAAGTACAGTGGTTATGGAACTCCTGAAATACCTCCTGCAAACAATTTGAAACCTATAAGCTTTAACGAAATTTTACTACATATATTCCATAATGATAGTGAACAGAGCTCAGGAAGTCTTCAGGTTATACTTTTTTAAAATAATGTCTTCCTCCATAAGCCATCCTTGAAAATAGATAACTTAGCTTCTGTATAAACTAGATAAACGCACTCAGCTGGGTTTTTTTGTTGTTGTTGTTTTCAACTGAAAACATTAAAGGTGAGAAACCTACTTTTAAGAGACATCATTTTATATACAAATATGGAAGTTTGAGAATTTTCTTTCCTCTTTTCCAAATAAGGTCAAATTATAAATTGACACAAATATTCTCTACCTATATAAATGAAAACTTTCAAAGATCTATCAAGATTTTGGCTTTTTGTTGTCTTGTTTCACTTTACCATTTGTCTTTTGACAATATCTTGAAAATCTTTTCTATTTAGATTTGTGATTTTGGATTGGCCAGAGTGGAAGAATTAGATGAATCTCGTCATATGACTCAGGAAGTTGTTACTCAGTATTACCGGGCTCCGGAAATCCTGATGGGCAGCCGTCACTACAGCAATGCTATTGACATCTGGTCTGTCGGATGTATCTTTGCAGAACTACTAGGACGAAGAATACTGTTTCAGGCACAGAGTCCCATTCAGCAAGTATGATATCACTTTAGGCTTCAGAAACTTCCAATTCGAATAACAGACTTAAAGGAAAAACTATCTTGCATATGCGCCTTGGGCTTATTCATTGTACTGTCTAAATTGCTTTTAGAAAATTCAGGTTCCCTTACAATTCAGAAAGTTACAAAGTTGCAGATTACAGAGAGATTCATTTTATAATTTTCGGGCCTGTTAGAGGGAGGGTTCGCTTTCTTACACGCACGGTGCCGAGCAGCAGCCTGCTGTAATAATTTGCACAGCTATAATCTTCAGTTGTCGGAGGGCCTCTGTTCCTTTGGCTGACTAGGTCTGACTTGAAAATGTATTTGGTGGCTTAATGTACTTACGCTTTATGCTTAGAACGTAAGTTTTGAGTGCTGGCTTCTTTAAATCTAAACATTTAGACACATTTCTAACTTTTATTATTGGGCTAAAATATTTCTATATGGCAGAAAACATCAGGAGCTGATTAAAATGTAGCTTTGGGGCACCATAATGCTTTCGTTGTCTGCCTTTATAGTTAATTCATTACTACACATATTTTCTTGGGATAATTTCTAATTATTTTTTGTTCATAAATTTTAACAGTATTATTTGAGAATAATGTAACAGTGATGAGCTTAGGCTGTGAATCAAATTGGTGGGTTCAGATCTTAGCTCTGCTACCTAACTATCTATTAAATCTTGACCAAGTTAAACTGTTCTGAGGATTGTTATACAGATTAAATGAAATAGTAAAGCTGAAAATAAGGCCTGGCATATAGTAAGCACTCAAGAAATATAATGGTGGTGGAGTACCAGGATGCCAGGATTGTGGCAGTAAATAAGACAAAGTTAGTTCCTGCCTTTGTGAAACTTTTTCATGATACTGAAATTAAGTAAGTATACAAATAAATAATCCCAAGTAATGATAAATTCTTTGAAGAAAAAGTAAACCAGCCCTAGCCAGTTTGGCTCAGTGGATAAAGCACTGGCTGGTGGACCAAAGGGTCCTGCGTTCAATTCTGGTCAAGGGCACATACCTTGGTTTCAGGCTCCTTCTCGGCCCTGGCCCTGGTCGAGGTGTGTGCATTAGGCAACCAATCGATGTTTTTCTCACATCTTGTTTCTCTGTCTTTCCCTCTCTCTTACACTCTAAAAGATCAATGGGAAAATATTTTCAGGTGAGGATTGAAAAAAAAAAAAAAATTAAACCAGGTTGAGATAGAAAATGCTGATGGAGCAGAGCAGCACTAAGGAATTCTCTGAGGGAATAACATTGAGAGTGACCCAAGTGAAATGAGAGAAGCATGGTCTGAGAAAGAGTCTTCCAGGAAAAGGGACACTAGCATAATAGAGCTTCTGAGGCAGGAGCAGGTGTGGCATGTCGGGGGCATCCTCAAGGAAGAGCACGTAGGAGCTGAGGTCAGAGAAGCCTGGCCGCGGCAACCTGGTGAGGCTTTGGGTTTTTCTTCTCTGCAAAGTGTGATGGGAAACGATGTGAAGGTTTTGAGCAAGGGTGTGTTAAAATTTGATTGATCACCCTGACTACTGTGGATCTTTGTAAATAATTCATGTACTTGACCAAAAATGGAATTTTTTTTTATTCTCTTTCTACAGAGTCGTTAACTGATACATTAGAAACTGCATATGCTATGATCAATATTTAAATTTATTTCTCTACACATATGCAGAGTCAGTTTTTTAAGGTTTACATCTTAAAAATTGATCCTAGTAACAGAAAACTTATATATAATTTAATGTTGATTACTATTGACAGTATCAATATTTTTGGAAAGTAGAGTTTAATAGACTTCCTGAAAGACTATCATTATATTTGGACATAAGGAGCTGCCATACAGTAAAGCTTAAGTAATATGATAAACAAGGAACTTGCCAGGTCATGGGCTGCTTCTGAAAAGAATATTTAAAGGAAAGTGTGAGGCAACTGGGATGGAATGCAGATTATCTCATTTTCTAGAGAAATGCATAGGTCTTGAGTTTGCCAGTGTGGCATAGCCACTGAAGGAGAATTCTCATCTATCTATCTATCATTAATGTATTTTTGAGTGAAATATCAAGGTCTAAAGTAGGAAAAGATTCTAATTTCTAAATGGAAGTAGTTATTTTCTGTAGCATTTTTTTGCGTTTTTTGAGAAATAAATAGCCTAGGTTTTGTAATATCAGCGACTTCATAAAAATATTTCTCATCCATTGATCTGACCCATTTTAGACAATTTTCTGAATGGATCCATTTGTTTTCACGAACCAGTCATTTCCTTCTGCCTTTAAGGGTAGTTGGCAGAGGTCCAAAAGTACCACCAACATACTTTTCCCAAAAAGCTTTGCATAGAGATCTTTACTTGTGTACGCAGATACCTCCGTTATCCCGGAGGGCAGGGATACTGACGGGTCAGGGTACCCCACAGGTCAGGTGAGTGCAGAAGGAAATGGTGTTTTATATTTGACAACTCCGGCACCATGAAAAGAAATATTCTCTAGGGAAGAATTTTCCATTTTGGAGGAATTCGAATGAAATGTTATTGCTAATTAGGCTGTGAGATTAGAACAGTTGTTAGCACTACAGAAAATTGTGAAGGTGCTTTGGTACATACAAAGGCTTGTTTGTGAGAAGACCGTTTTTATTGGTCTCTATTATTGTGCCCAGTTAGCTAAATGAGGCCTTATTCGACAGCATAGTTAGATTCTAAGTACCACAGTTTCCTGTCAGTGTAAGAGATTTCTAGCATAATGAGAATATAAAGGGGTGCGTAGCTGCCTCAAACATTGATGACTTAGCTTTAATTTCAGGTGTGAATGTTCTAAGTATTTACTAAATCTCAGCTGCCTGATCTGTGGCTTAGCTCCTTGATGAGCCTGAGTCCATGTGAAGCATCAGAATCTATTTGTTAACGTTTGAAAATAATAGTGATTAGCCATCAGCCAAAGAGCAGTTCATAGATCCTGTGCTATCAAGACATAGCTGCTGTGGTATCAAGACACAGGGATAGAAGCAGACTCCTAAATGACTACAGCCATAGAAGGCTATGTTTGCCAAGACATGTTTTCTGTAAACCTATCATATAGGTCCCTAACATTTTTATAGGGGTTTTTAATAGTCCAAAAAGTAAAAATAGGAGCTCCTATTAGTTAATTTGTCTTAGGTTTATTTCCCCAAATTTCATCCTTATCACTAATAAAAAGTTGTTTTCATGAGTTTACTACACATGTGTTTCATGTTTCCTTATAGTTGGATTTGATCACGGATCTCTTGGGCACACCATCACTGGAAGCAATGAGGACGGCTTGTGAAGGCGCTAAGGCACACATACTCAGGGGTCCTCATAAACAGGTAAAAGGAGAAGGAAGGGATCTGTATTTGGTAACCCACTCTTTGGGCAGGATTTTCCTTCCAACAGAATAATGAAGTGAGATTTTTTTTTTTTTTTTTTTAATCCTCACCCGAGGATATTTTTTTCCATTGATTTTTTTTTTTTTTTTTAGAGAGAGGGGATAAGAGGGAGAGGATGGGGAGAGAGCAAGAGAGAGAAACATTGACATCAATAAGTTGCCTCCTACATGTGCCCCCAAGAAGGGCCAGGGAAGAACCAAACCTATAACCGAGGTACATGCCCTTTGGCTGAGAATCAAAATCGTGATACTTCGGTCCACAGATTGATATTCTCTAGCCACTGAGCCAAACCAGTCAGGGCTGAAATGAGAATTTTTAAACAAAAACATTACGTGTAGCCCTGCCTGATGTGGCTCAGTTAGTTAGATGTCATCCCATGTACTGAAAGGTTGGTGGTTCGATTCCAGGTCAGGGCACATGCCCAGATTTCGGGCTAGATCTCACGTAGTGGGCTGCAGGAGGCAGCTGATCAGTGTTCCACTCACATCAATTTTTCTCTCTCCTCTTCTCCCTTTCTCTCTCTCTAAAATAATTTTTTTAAAAACCACCATATCACTTGTAAGTTTTATTTATCCTGTATGTCATTTGTCTGTAAGAAAGAAAATGTTAGATGCAATAAAATACAGTGATTTCTAATGCTATAGGAGAAAGAAAATATTTTTGTAGTGCCCTTGCTAATAAATGATCCCTGTTATTTTTGTGTTTTGGTTTTTTGATGTGTCTGGTAAAAGTTAGTAGGGGTGGAGCTTTAACCTCAGTGCCATAACCTAATACTTATATATCAGAATGTCCTTTCCAAATACTGAACTAAAATACCTCGTATTTCTTAATGCAGCTGTGAATGTGAAGCTGTGTCTATTGCACTCTTGCCACTAACACACAAGCAGATGCACAGACACAAAGGCAATGAGTAAAACCAGCCCAAACCAGTAAATAGGGTTGTAGATGCTGGTATTTTATATAGCCCCTGCCTGGTGCGTTCTCCCTCACCTGTCCCTCTGGGAGCACAAGAGCACACCTGCTCCTTCTCCATCCCATGTCCCTTCCCCCAGGTGCATTACCTTTCCCTCTCCCTCTCCTAAGCTCCAAGGGCCCTTCTTTTGCCTCTGAAGCCTGCTTTCTGAGCTTCCACAGCCCAGCTGGCTCACTGCTACTACCTCTGTAACTCTTTAAGTAAACTATGACATAATTTGAGGCCCTAATTTCTTTAGAAGAGAACAGTAAGTCTTACCCACAGGAAGGTTCCATATTATTAGAAGGAACTAAAAAGATCTATTATGTTTTATATATTGGCCAATATCAGGAATATTAAACTATTTTATTATCGATAGTACCTCATAATGTGTCCTTGGAAATAGCAAAATAGTTTTTCTGTTTTACTGACCTCTTTTGGTCAGATTTTAACTATTGCTAGTGGTTGCCAGTTAATTTCATCCTGTGTATCAAAGAGTTACTAAACAGCAACCAAGAGAACCAGACTTCCTAAGGAATTTCCCGCCTGCTACCTGAACAGCTCAAAAATGTATCTTACTGCACCAAAAGTCACTTTGCACTCCTTTGAGAATTCCTGACAAATAAGTCCTTTTTTGTATTACTGATTTTAAAAATCTGTTAGTTGTAAAAACCTAGAACTTTAAATTAAATTAAAAAAAATAGTAAATGTCATTACTATCTAAAACAAAGGGTTGAAAAAAGGAAAATGTAACTTAACTCGTTAAATAGTTTAAGAGTTTTAGCAGAATTCTTTCTTGCACATTTTTACACGAATTGGCTTCATAACAGTAATGCCTCTTAAAGTTTGACATTTTGCTTATCACTAAGCTTAGTGATGGCATTAAGAGAGCACCATGGTGCTGAAACCGGTTTGGCTCAGTGGATAGAGCTTCGGCCTGCAGACTGAAAGGTCCCGGGTTCGATTCCGGTCAAGGGCATGTATCTTGTTTGCGGGCACATCCCCAATGAGGGGTGTGCAAGAGGCAGCTGATCGATGATTCTCTCTCATCGATGTTTCTAACTCTATCCCTCTCTTCCTCTCTGTAAAAAAATCAATATGAGAGAGAGAGAGAGAGAGAGAGAGAGAGAGAGAGAGAGAGAGAGAGAGAGAGAGAACGAGAGAACGAACCATGGTAAAAGTTGGGGATGGCTCTGGCTAGTCTTGAGATGAAAATATTTTCATTTAGAAGTGAAGACTGGTGGAGTAAAAACTACGGAGACCATTTCTGCTCAAAAGTCAGATATGCTTTTCACAGATCTTTAGAGGACTTTTAACCAGTGCTGGAAAGGGCCTTACTGGCTCATGTAACTGAAAAGTCTTGAGCTACAGCTGACTTCACTCCCTGCTGGATTCAGGTAGTCAAGTGATGTTCTAAACCAGGAATCAACTCTCTTCTCTTCTCTGTTTTTCTGTGTGTTGGCTTCATTTTCAGATAGTCTTTCCCTCATATGTTTGTAAAAATGGACCCAATAGTCCTGGCCTATGTTCTACTAGCCTATCAGTCATTTGGGAAAGAGCTTTTCCAAATAGACCCAGAAATAATATTTGGAAATTCTCTGATTTAGTTATGAATTGTTTGATTATAAGTAATAGAAAATCTTGTTTACAGTAGTTCAAAGAAATAATTCATTTTTTTCCTCATCAATTCCAGTGGTAGGCAATCTAGATCTGATACAGCAGCTCAATTATGTCATCAGGGATCTAGTTTTTTCTTTCTTTCTCCTCTGCCATCTTTAGAATGTTGACTTCATACTGTCTCACTTATCGCCTCAGGGTCACAAAATAGCTGTAGCTTATCCAGAAATCATATCCACTTTCAAAGCAAGTAAAAGAAGGAAAGAGGGAGGACTAGCAGTCTCTGTCCCTTTTTCAGGAAAGCAAAGTTTTCCAAGAAGCCTGCCTAACGAACTTTTGCTTATATGTCATTTTCTAGAACTGTGTGATATGTGCCCTCCCAGATGCAAGACAGGCTTAAAAAATGAGAATTTTCTATCTCATATAATGAAGGTAAATAAGGGAGAAGAGGATTGGGGTATGTGTTGGATTAGCCATTCCATGTCCCTTTCATTTTTTATTTTTTAGACCATGTACTCATCCTGGAGCCAGTGATGATGCTCAGGCAAATATATCATTTGATTGTCCAGGCCTGGGTCATGTGCCATCCTTGGAGTTGGGAGATTGAAATCCAGGCCAGCCAAACCACTTGAGAGTGAGAAGAGAATAGTTCGCTAAAGGTCAGGGAATGCTGAGTAGACAAAAACACTGCACAGTGTTGTATGTTTTATTATTTTTTATTAATTTTAGAGAGGGAGATAGAAACATCAATGATGAGAGAATCATTGATCGGCTGCCTCATGCACACCCCCTACTGGGGATCGAGCCTGGAATGAAGTATGTACCCTTGACTGGAACTGAACCCAGGACCCTTTAGTCCACAAGCCGATGCTCTACCCACTGACCCAGACCAGCTAGGGCTGTACAGTGTTTTATTTATTGTCACTTTTCTACAACTCAGAATCTTGGATGAAGAGAATCTTAGCTGCCACAGCCTACATCAGTATCTGGTAAGGAAGATAGTTGTTGAGGCACTGACCTGTGGGTAGAACTGAAAAGTCTAATTTAGTCCTTTTGTTCATCATTAATAAGGTTTTCTTTTTTTCTCCGATTGTTCCCAGCTAATTGTGTCAGAAGTAGATATATTTTCACTGAAGTTAAAATGATCCTGTCTTATCTTACATTTGCTAGAATCAGAGTATGTTAGAGAGTTCATTCAGTTCAAACTTACTATTTTTCAGGGTGGGAGTTTCTTCTCTATGACCCCAAAGTGCTTACTGCCATGCTCTGCGCATTGTGCATCCTCAGTTAACGTTGCTGACTGACGATAACAGCTTCTTTGCTGCCGGGTGAAAACTAACAGGGACATCTAACAGGACTCACACAGCTGCGCTGACTTGACTCCAGGGACCAGCACTCTGCATTTGGCTTATGATGACTGTGGTTTATCCATTTAGGGCCTCTCACCCAGTTCCAGAAGCTCATCCTTGCTTCATTTCACTGACAATTAATCACAGTCATTAATAGAGCACTTTTTATAACCCTTCCTGTCCCCACTCGCTGGCACCCACTCACTCCTGCATTGCTAAGTGACTTATAAACTTGCAAAACAAACAGAAAATGGACTGATATATTTTGAAAGAGGAGAAAAGTAATGTGTAAATGTTAGGGAAATTAGCATAAACTTTTTTCCCAATGAGATAGGGCATATTTGTAAGCATTCTATTTTTTCTCTTATTCAAGTAATTCCAGTACCTGATGAAAAATGTAAACTTGTCTGGTTCTATAACATGGGCCAGATTGGTTTCAACCAGAATGGCTAGTGAATTGGAGTGAGGCAAATTGAATTAGAAATGCAGCATCTCAACCTCTGGTGTGGCTCAATTGGCTGAGCAAGTTACCTGTTCAATTCCTGCTCAGGGCACACGCCCAGATTGGAGTGCATAAAGAAGGCAGCTGATCAGTGTTTCCCTCTTACATCGATGTTTTTCTCTCTGTTTCCTCCTGTCTTTCTCTTTCTCTCTAAAATCAAAACATTTTTTAAGAACAGAAATGCAGCATCTCTAACTTTATATTTTTCCTGTGGAGCCAGTGCTAAGAGCTAAATTATTAGTGTTTTTCTTACTGGAGAAGTATTGGGATGACTGAACTGACTGTTCTTTCTCTCTGTCCCTTTTTTTTATTATTATTGATTTTTCACAGAGAGGAAGAGAGAGGGATAGTCAGAAACATGGATGAGAAACATCCATCAGCTTCCTCCTGCACATTCCCCACTGGGGATGTACCCGCAACCAAGGCACATGCCTCTGACGGGAATGGAACCCAGGACCCTTCGGTCAGCATGCTGACGCTCTGTTCACTGAGCCAAACCGGTTTCGGCTCTGTGCCTCTTTTTTTTTTTTTTTTAGTGATCAGACTGGATCTTTCACTCTCTCTCTCTCTCTCTCTCTCTCTCTCTCTCTCTCTCTCTCTCTCTTTTTCTCTCTCTCTCTCTTTAATGTATTTTATTGACTTCAGAAAGGAAGAGAGAGAGAGAAACATCAGTGCTGAGAGAGAACCATTGATCGGCTGCCTTCTGCATGCCACACATTGGGGATTGAGCCCACAATCTAGGCATGTGAACTGGCCGGGAATCAAACCATGACCTCCTGGTTCAGAAGTCAACACTCAACCACTGAGCCATGTGGCCAGGCTCTGTGCCTCTTTTCAATATGAATATAAACCCAGAAAAGGAGAAGGCATATAATATGACTGTCCTAGGCTGAAATTAAATGTAGCCTTATTTTTAGTGTATTTGTTGGGATGTACTTTTGTGAAGAAAAATAGTTTGGGGTATGAAGGCTGTTTAAATTTCAGGTAACCTTAACATCTTCTCATTGACTGTTCATAAACTCCACATCTCATATCCAGATAAACTCAAATCTTATAAATTTTGCCTTCTCGCTGAAACTGGTTTGGCTCAGTGGCTAGAGCTTCGGCCTGCAGACCAAAAGGTCCCGGGTTCGATTCCAGTCAAGGGCATGTTCCTTGGTTGGGGACACATCCCAAGTAGGGAATGTGCAAGAGGCAGCTGATCGATGATTCTCTCTCTTTGATGTTTCTAACTCTCTATCCCTCTCTTCCTCTCTGTAAAAAATCAATAAAATATATTTTAAAAATAAATAAATAAATTTTGCCTTCTAATTTCTTCTCTATCCTCCATTAGTGGCTTCTGACCTACTTGGTTATGTTTTCCTTGCCTATCAGAGAAATGTTAGTCATCTTAGTTGTCCTAACACCTAGCCTGGGACCTGGGATTTGGTGAATGTTAGATGATTAGCAATGATTTCGGTAGGCAGGTCTGTGCTGGTGCAGCCTAATAGGTGAGAAAGCCAAGGTCCAGTGAGTTACCCACATCTAGTGATAGCAGAGTTAGAATTAGAACCCACTATTCCCTTCCCTGAGCTATAACATACCTCTTCCACAAAAATAGCATGAGCCGAAACTGATTTGGCTCTGCGGACTGAAAGGTCCCAGGTTCGATTCCGGTCAAGGGCATGTACGTTAGTTGCGGGCACATCCCCGGTAGGGGGTGTGCAAGAGGCAGCTGGTCAATGTTTCTCATCGACGTTTCTAGCTCTCTATCTCTCTCCCTTCCTCTCTTCCTCTCTGTAAAAAAATCAATAAAATATATATATATTTTATTTTATTTATTTATTTTTTTAAATAGCATGAGGTATAGATTCATTTGAGGACTGAAAAGGAAAGAGTTGCATATGGTGAGATATCGGAGTCATTAAGAATTGGCTGGAATTTGGCTGCCAACTTGCACAGCCAGTGAAGAAGAGGACAGCTATTCACAGTCAAACCAAGAATCCAAATCTTTTAGGAATATCAAGTTACTTAATTTCACACAATAAAAAAATTATTAGGGAAAAATACATATAAATTAAGTTGTAAGTTAAAACTCTTCCTTAACACTCTCCACCCTATCCCCCTTATCTTGACTAATACAGATAATTTCAGAGCTACATAGACGTACATAATTTTTAACAATACTTCTCTACCTACAAACATGTGAATGCACCAAGGGATAATAAATTGGTCTGGAAATACATGAATATCAACTATCTGTGTGTTCTGTGTGCATAATATTTTTTATCTGTGGTAGTCCTATCAAGTCTCACACTAAAGGAAACTGAAGAGATCATTTAGTCCAACCTTCTCGTTTAATACTAAAAAATACTGAGATTCAGACATGTTGATTTATCTAATTTGTTAGTGAACTAGAACCCCCATCTCACCTTATTGCTATGACTCCTTGATCCTGAAGAAAACTTCTCTGTAAGTTGAATAATTACCTCCTGATGGTTCCAGGATGTCTTGTTTTTGTTGGATTTTCCTGTGTGGCTTTGTTGGAAGGAGATAGACATGTAAATCTTGTAACAAGACTCTGGGGCTGTGATTGAGATCTGACGAGAACTTTTAATGTTATTTGTGTGACAGAAAGAGCAGTGATGCTCTGTCCCCAGCTCTCCAAGCTGTGAAATAGGAGCTTTATAAGCTCTGTGGCTTTTCAGGTCCTAAAAGCCAGCTCCCTGCATCAATGCAAAAAGGTTACATCTTGGCATCTGGACATGCATGCTACTTACAGAAGACAGTTATTGCATGAGAAATCAGGGGGTAAAGGCAAAATAGGTGCACCCAGTGCAAACAATGGTGCACGTTCTGAGAAAATTCTTTTCACATCTCCTTTAGGACTAGTATTTTAGCAGCTTTATGGTAATATTGCCATAAGACATAGTTCACATGCTTACTTTTTGCACAGTTTACATGCTTAAGTTTGTATGTGGCCAAGGTATTAAATCCTTTTCTCTCTCACTCCTAGGCATCTCTTCTCTTCCTGCTAAGGCATTTGCAGTATAAGGCTAACAGGAGCTCCATAGTTACAAGGCTAGCTTTCATTTTCCTAGGCTCGTTTGTGCTCTAACCTCCAGTGGGTAATCATGCAATATAAAATACGCTACTGGGAGTCAGTGACAGTTGTTTTTGAAGACTGGTTATAGGGGGGTACTCCTTCTCTTTGAGTTGTTACTTATGTGCATACATTTTTTGAGCTGGGTACTTACCTTGCCATAAATTAGCTATACTGCATATCTACTTACACTCCTTTACATATTTGAATTCTTTATTTTTTCACAGCCATCTCTTCCTGTACTTTATACCCTGTCTAGTCAGGCTACACATGAAGCTGTTCATCTCCTTTGCAGGATGTTGGTCTTTGATCCAGTAAGTAGTCTTTGTTTTTATACTTTATAATGAATTAAAAATACATGTGTTCTAAGAAAAACATCAGAACTGGACAGTGTAAATAATGACTTTGCATAACCTTCCGTCCCCAGTTTCACATGTATCATGCTCACACATCATACAGAAGTTTGATTATTAGCACCTGAGAGCTGAGGGGGAAGAGAGATGAAGAATTGTACCAGTTTTATTTATCTCTATTTGTAAAAGGAGTTTGGCAGCAACTTAAATCAGGAGGGAAAAGATTTTAACATTGTTTGAAAAAATCTGTCCATTTTATTGCATAAGAAGTTGCTGGGATGGTAGCTTTTCCAAATGCCATTTTTGGATTTGACCCTTTGGAACAAAATTTAGCTCATTTATTCATTCACCCAAAGAATATTTATTATTCATATCTGTACCAATAACTGCTGTCAAAGAAGACTCAAAAATGGGAGCATTTAGAAAAGAAAATTTTACTTGCTAAGAATACAAGAAAGTCACCAAATACAAAAAAACACAGATATTTAAAGGGGGGGGAAATGCCCACAAAATTAACAGTTACTACGTTTACATTAGTCTGTTTGTGATGAGAAAACAGCAGCTGTCTCACATGAAAATCAAATCCACAGAAGTCAGAACTATCTTGACATCAGCATAACAAAAATTAGGGATAAAAATGTTTTGTTAAGAGTCCAGGTTTGTGAGAAACAGTAAAGGTTTCATTATTTGGGGACTAAAACCAATCAGTGACCAAGTTATTTTTGTTACATCTCAGAGTGCATAGTGGATTTTTATTTGTTTGTTTTCCTTTTATTCGTTTGTTTGTGAGGTGCTTAGTAATACAAAAGCAGGACAAAGTGGCCATTCTCAATTCCACAGTCCCTCCTTGTGGTCAAGTTCCTGCCATTAAAGATCATTCCAACATAACTTGCTCAGTGAGCTAGTGATTTAGTATCATTAGTTTGGTATTTTGTTTTATTTGGCAAGTCTATATAGCTAACAGAAGACGTTGATTAATACATAAAGGACCTTTGTATGGTTAACAAAACTAGAGCCACATAAACTTCTAGCTTCAGAGGTAATTTCTGTCTGCCCTTCAAAGAGTATAAAGGCCCTGGGGTTAAAATTTCCTTACATGCATCAGAAATATCTTGTGTTCTTTATTAGTTCTGTTGAGATTAGTAACCAAAACCATGTGATCCATCTGTGCTAGGTTTTGCTGCGGTACTTATGTCTGTAAGGTATCCTCTTTCTCAGAGAGCCCATGTTTATTAAGGCTCCTGACCTGCCCAAACTCAGACTTTACAACCTTAAGGCTGAAGGGTCCAAAGCTGTAGAGCAGATACCACACATATTATCCTGGGAGGCCTGTTAGACATCAGTTCTATGTGAAAGGTAGTCCTTAATCCTCAATAGTGGGATTGTCACACCTAAATAAATGAAACTTTATCAGCTGCCTCCTGCACAGCCCCTGTTGGGGATTGAGCCAGCAACTGGAGCATGTGCCCTTGACTGGAATCGAACCTGGATCCCTTCAGTCCGCAAGCCAATACTTTATCCACTGAGCCAAACCAGCTACGGCAGTAAATGAAATTTTTTATATCATATTTACAATTAATTATCTTTATAAGAGAAAAAGAAGAGTTATCTGGTAAAGATTCTTTTTTTTTCTTTTTATATTTTATTAACTTTTTACAGAGAGGAAGACAGAGGGATAGAGAGTTAGAAACATCGATGAGAGAGATCAGTTGCCTCTTGCACACCCCCTACTGGGGATGTGCCCGCAACCCAAGGTACATGCCCCTGACCGGAATCGAACCCGGGACCCTTCAGTCCGCAGGCTGACATTCTATCCACTGAGCCAAACCGATTTTGTCAGAGAACAGATTCTTATTGAACCTAAATAAATAACATTAAAAAAAATAAAGGAATTTAGTTAAGGATCACCGCATATTTAACCATTTTTTATCATTGTCCTTTTTAGAACAAGTCCAACCAATAAATGAGTTACTGTTTTGTTTTTTGTTTTTTACAGACATTTAACCATTTTTTATCATTGTCTTGTAGAACAAGTCCAACCAATAAATGTGTAAAACAAAACATTTTTATCCCTATTCTTTGTTATGCTGATGTCAAGATAGTTCTGACTTCTGTGGATTTGATTTTCATGTGAGACAGTTGCTGTTTTCTCATCACAAACAGACCAATGTAAACGTAGTAACTGTTAATTTTTTTTTTACAGACATATCTACTTTTAATATCTACTAATATTAATAGTAGATATCATTTTTAAAGAATGTTTTATTCTGTTTTTAACCTGTTAAATTTAGATTTATCCATATATTAAAAAAAAAAAAATGAGGTTTTTTTAAAAATATCCATTAAAAATAGAACTCTAGCCAAAACCGATTTGGCTCAGTGGATAGAGCGTCGGCCTGCGGACTGAAGGGTCCCAGGTTCGATTCCGGTCAAGGGCATGTACCTTGGTTGCGGGCACATCCCCATGTAGGGGGTGTGCAAGAGGCAGCTGATCGATGATTCTCTCTCATCGAAGTTTCTAACTCTCTATCCCTCTCTCTTCCTCTGTAAAAAATCAATAAAATATATATATATTTTTAAATAGAACTCTAACTATAATTCAGTTTATTTAGCCCACTTAGTTGCAATAATCAATTACTTATTGTTGATATTGGCTTAAGCAGTCTGTTGCCATGTGTCTGCTCCTGGACTGAAACATTCCTGGAAGTCCTGGCTCAGTTACCTGGTTCAGTCTCAGCAGGGATGTCTGTGGAGATATCAATTACACCCATGAATGCATACCATGAAGGCAATGGTCAGAGTACCATCTGATAGCATCCTTTACTGAGGTCCTTATGATATTTTTTAAGGAATACTCAGTTCCTGACCTTTAGTTTGTAGCAGGAGCCTTTAGGCAAATATAAGAAGAAAAGGAGCCCTGGCCGTGTGACTCGGTTGGAGCGTTGTCCTGTGCACCCAGTGGTCTTGGGTTTCATTCCCAGTCAGGTCACACACCCAGGTTGTGGGTACAGTCCCCCATTGAGGCATGTACAGAAAGCAATCGATCAATGTTTCTCTCTCTCATTGATGTTTCTCTCCCTCTCCTATCTTCTCTCTCTAAAATCAATAAAAACCTATTTTTAAAAAAGAAACAAAAACAAAGGCCAATAGGGAAGCCAGACTCCAGCTACCGATGGCAGCAGATAGGAGCCCAATTTCTGACATCTGCCACCTGACAGAAATGACTTAATCATCAGATGGTAAAATTAAAACCCAGATTCAATCATAGCTGTCACCAGTGTGGACATAATCACTCATTTCAGTCAGAAATAGAAATAGACTCAGCCAACAACCAGATTTAGTGCGCAAAAGCCAGAGAGCTCAATCCACATGTGAGACCGGCCAGAGTCATGGGGCGAAGGACCCTGTCTTGGGAAAGGTGCATTGTTGGCCAGCTAATTTCTTTTGATTCTGATAGTACTTTCTCTATTTTTTAATATATTTTTATTGCTTTTGGAGAGGAAGGGAGAAAGAGAAACATCAATGATGAGAGAGAAGCATGGATCGGCTGCCTCCTGCACGCTCCACACTGGGGATCAAGCCTGAAACCCAGGCATGTGCTCTGACTGGGAATCAAAGCAGCAACATCCTGGTTCATAGGTCAGCGCTCAACCACTGAGCCATGCCAGCCGGGTCTGACAGTAGACCTTTATTCCAGTGCAACCTCCAGGAGTAGCTGGATTTATTTAGCAAAAAAGAGAAAGTTTACTTGCTAAAAGTACCAGTGAATCCATTCAGCTGGGTCACCAAGTACAAAACAGGAGCAAAGCCAGAGCCAAGGTTGTCAAATCTACATTTATTTGTCTGCTCGTGGTGGAGAGACAGCACCTTTCACTTGCGATTATCCTATCCTGGAAGGGCATGACATGCCTTTTAACATCAGCACAGCAAAAAAAAAAAAAAATCAGAGATTAAAATGTTTTGGGGGAATCCGGGTTTATGGGAAATAGTTAACATTTCATTATTTGAGGGGACCAGAACTAGTCAGAATGATCTGGGATTTTTTGTTTGTTTTTTATGGTTTTTTGTTGTTTGGTTGGAGTGCAAAATGGCTTTCTTTTTCTTTTCTTTTTCTCTTTCTTAATCATGTTATGTAAAGTGCTTGATCATCTTGCATGTAGGGCAGAGTGTCAGTATTTATTCTCTTCTCTGCTCTTGAGCCTGTCCTTAAATCCTTTAGAATTAACTTTCTGTCACTTAGTAGTATTTATATGTCCACTGAGCTCAAAGGAAGGATTTTTTTTTAATGGAGAAATGAGTTTAAAAGTGTATGGTTTATCAACCTGAAACTAGTATGTTACGTATTCTGATCTGAAGTGTCAGGAAACAGCAGGCTGCTGATATTCAGAGTGAGCTGGAGAGTAAAACATGGCATTCAGGCCGTTACCTGCTGCCTAACTCCAGCAACTTCAGAGACCCTAGGTTGATTTGGCATTCCAAGAGAATTAAATTTTCAAGCAGCTTTGTAAAATTGCCACCTTGATCACATCTCTTCTAGATGCTGAGACATGTTTAGAAAATATAACTGCTATTTAAAATGTAAACTTCCGCCCTAGCTGATTTGGCTCATTGGATAGAGTGTCAGCCTATGGACTAAAGGGTCCCAGGTTCAATTCTGGTCAAGGGCACATGCCAGGGTTGCAGCTCGATCCCTCGTGTAAGGCGTGAAGAAGGCAGCCAATCAATGATTCTCTCTCATCATTGATGTTTCTATCTCTCTCCCTCTCCTTTCCTCTCTGAAATCAATAAAAATTTATTTTAAAAATAAAATTTAAACTTCTCCCCTCCAAAGCATTACATATTTAAATGTCATGATATTTGTAATTTTGGGCACTACATACATTTATTTTGAGGTAGCAATTCTTTGGGATCTTAGCAGAAAGTCACTCATACTCCCTCTGACTGCTGCATTGCCCACTCTAACTTCAGTTATCCCTCTTTACACAGGATGTACCGTAAAGTATAAGCAGTTACTGTGCCTTGAGAAAGATCCTGTGTGGACAGTCGTGTTTATCTGTAGTGTTGATGTGCTGGTCTCTAAATTTGATTTCAGTCCAAAAGAATATCCGCTAAGGATGCCTTAGCCCACCCCTACCTAGATGAAGGGCGACTGCGGTATCACACGTGTATGTGCAAATGTTGCTTTTCCACCTCTACTGGGAGAGTTTACACCAGTGACTTCGAGCCTGTCACCAACCCCAAATTCGATGACACTTTTGAGAAGAACCTCAGTTCTGTTCGACAGGTTAAAGGTGAGCATCATTTTTGGCCTTCGGCCTGGCGGGATCGCTAGTAACGTTTTCTCTACGTGGCCCTGAAGAGCTGCGATCTCACAGGTCTGTTTCACAGCCTCGCGTACAGCGCTCCATTCGGGGCACGTACCATGAAAGCTGTGTGTGTGATAAAAACGCCCACTTAGTACTACCTCCAGGGCAAGAACAGGCAGAGGAATAAATATTGTGTTCTTGTTTTCAAAGCTAACTTACTTGATGAGTATGACTCAATATAGTTAATATGTATTCGTTGAGTGTAATTAATTGAATGGGGCATCTTGGATGTATAACATGCAAAGTTTTAAAAAAAAAAAAAAAAGATAAACATCTACCAAGGGATCATTCTATGGATGATGACAAGAGAAGGAAATTTTCGCTAGTCGACTCGTAATATTTCCTGCACCACCTCCTGTTGGGATGGGGTCGGGGTTTATAACATCCAAAATTCTGAATGATTTGAGTGTCTGCTATAGGGCATTTTAGAGAGAGTAGTTCCCAAAGAAACCAGCCCAAAACTGTATCTAACTATCAAGCTGTTTTAGGGATTTTCAATAAGGTGGCAATTACCAGCAATTCAGAAGAGTTCACGCCAAACCCTGTGGAGTCAGCTCTCAAATTTATAGACTCCTCCCACAGACGGGGTGTCCACCCAGCAGAAGGTGCTCTGCGGGCTTTGCCTGTGTTTAGTAGCACAGGCATTTGGTTCCAGGGAAGTTCTGCTGGAGTCAGCCTGACAGATGACGTGTGTCTGATTTAACTAAACAAGTAGGAAACGATGTTCTGACGCTGGCTAGCGTTAGCTGAGAACCCACTGCTCCCAGACCTGCAAATTGGCATGCCTTGTGTGTTTGTTTTCTCCACAGAAATTATTCACCAGTTCATTCTGGAACAGCAGAAAGGAAACAGAGTGCCTCTCTGCATCAACCCTCAGTCTGCTGCTTTTAAGAGCTTTATTAGGTAACTATGTGGATGTATTTCTAATTTCCTTAGTAGTAGTAGGAGGCCATTGTGATTTTTGTTACTCAACTTATTTCTGTTTTTGTTTCTATTCAATAACATAGATAAAAGGCCCAACAGAAAGTTTCTGTTATGAACTTTGGCTTTAGTCAAAAGCATATTAAAATGTTACATTAGTTTTCACACTGATGCCGACTCACTGTGGTTGCTTTGGTACTTTTGCCCCCAAATGGCCATTGTGCTGCCTGGTCATGTACATGGGGGTCTCCTGCAGCGACAGTGTGGCGGCCACTGTCCTGGAGTTGGACATGGTCACCAGGATTCCCACTGTTATCCCAGCACCTTCGGAATAAGAGCAGCAAGAACACTTGTTTTTATAGATGGACTGAGGGTGTGTCCAGCTGGCTTGTTGGTTCAAGAGCTGGAAACCTGCCTCATTCTCTTTGTCCTTGCCTTCTCAGTCTCTTTCCCTGACTGCTTGTACCAATCAAGGCCCAGTCATGAGAAATAAACTACACCCCATAAAATTAAATAACGAGAAGCATTAACCAGGGAAAGAGTGAACAAGGAAGAAAGTAAGACCTTAGAGGAGGTCCCTTCACCCAAGACTAATATTTGGAGGTAACATAGCTGCCCCAGACACACCCATGAGGGCGGAAAAGAAACTCCAAACCGGAGGGGGCGGGGGGGGAGGGGGACGGGACAGAACTCATCCATCAGAGAGACCTGTTGGGTTGCAGAGCAACTTGCCACAATGTTTGGTTAGACCAAAGCTGGGCCTTTCATGTTTAAAAAAAAAAAAAAGACAACAAAATAAAACAAAATAAAAGGGCACACCAGAACCGGAAAGGGCAGCTGCTTCCTATTGCCACAGCTGTGTGGTGCCTCTCCAGCGCCCTCTGTCGACACAGGCTAGCATCAAGCAGGTGGCAAAGGGGGAATGTGAACAGCTTCTGGCTCCCGGATCACAAAGCAGCACAAAGAAGGGTGGGGGTTTGGATCTGAGAGGCCACACTCTATCTCCTTTCTTCCCCACCTGTCTTTCTCCCTCTTCTTTTTCCCTCTTCTCTCTGATTCTCTTTCCCGTCCACTCATTTCTGTTTTAATTGGTCTTAACATGGTATTAAAGTTGGTTTAATTTATTGAACTAAATTTGTTTAGAATTATTTTTTGTTTACAATTATGTTGTTAGAAAGAATTAAGTTGCATTTTTACTTCTCTGTTGTTTAAAATTACTTTGTTTTAGTTTTTTTTTTTTCCTCCTAAGAGTCAGTGACCCAGTACCTTTCCAGGTGCAAGTTATTCATTATTCTGGGCCTCAGAGAAGCAAAGTGGTTTCACACAACCCCTAGATTATGTTTATAATCTAGTGGGAAACATTAGACAGGCATATGAAATAACTGATAAAACAAATCAATAGGTAACAAATGCTAAATGGTTATCTATTACTACTTAGGTAGTACTTGATAAAGAAAGCATGTGAGGCTCATTCAAAATAGGTCCCCACTTCAGTGGATGTGTCTCTCTCACTTCCATGTTTCTCTCTCTGTCTCTCCCCTTCCCTTTCACTCCCTCCAAAAATCATTGGGGAAAAATATCCTCAGGCGAAAATTAACAAAAGAAAAAAGCCCTATCCAGTTGCTTAGTGGTTAGAGCATTGGCCCATGGACGAAAGGGTCATGGGTTTGATTCTGGTCAAGGGCATGTGCCTCAGTTGCAGGCTCTATTCAGGTCAGGGTATGTCCCAAAGACAACAATCAATGTGTGTCTCTCTCTGTTTCTTCCCCTCCCTTCCACTCTCTAAAATTCAATGTTAATACTCAGGTGAGGATTAATAACAACTATTTAAAAAAAAAAAAAAAAGGTTCCCACTTAAAAGTCACTGTATTTTGAGAGGCTATTTTCAAATGAATAATTCTGTACCATTTAAGGTTATTTTTCTTTTTCTTTTCTTTTTTAATATATTTTATTGACTTTATTACAATAGAGAGGGATAGAGAGTCAGAAACATCAATAAGAGAGAAACATTGATCAGCTGCCCCCTGCGCATTCCCCAGTGGGGATGTGCCCACAACCAAGGCACATGCCCTTGACTGGAATTGAACCCGGGACCTTTCAGTCTGCAGGCCAACGCTCTATCCACTGAGCCAAACGGGTTTCGGCAAAGGTTACTTTTCTAATTGATTATAAGCATTATTATTTATAACTAGAGGCTTGGTACACAAAATTCATACACGGTTAGGGTCCCTAGTCCTGGCTGGCAATCAGAGCCATTCGGGGCCTTCCAGCTGCCAGCCAGGGCCTCCCTTCATTCCGCGCCACCCCCTGGTGGCCAGAACACAACATAGTGAGTGATCGAACTCCTGAGGGGACACTTTGCATATTAGCCTTTTATATAAACAGATAACTACCGTTTTCTTTATATTATGAAGTAGGCACTGTGGAAAGCACTTTATATACATTTATTCATCACAATAGTATTATCCCTGCCCTAGATGGTCTGGCTCAGTGGATAGAGCTTTGGCGCCCAGACTGAAGTGTCCTGGGTTTGATTCCAGTCAAGGTGTGTACCTTGATTGCAGGCTCAATCCTTGGCTCTGGTTCAGGTGCATGCAGGAAGCAACCAGTTGATGTGTCTCTTTCACATCGATCTTTCTCTCTGTGTGTCTCTTCCCCCTCCCTTCCCCTCTCTCTCTAAATGGGGAAAAAATCCTTGGGTGAGGATTAACAACAACAAAAAATAAAATCACATTATCCCTCTCCAAGAGGAAAGATGAAGGAATCTGCTCTGTGTCACACAACTAGTAAATGACATTTTCCAAGGCCATGTATTAGCCACTGTGCCATATTGCCTCCCTAAACATACATATCCTTAAGCAAACAATTTGGAACAGATGCAATTTAGAGAAGTTAAAGAAACTAGTCAAATCCACAACTGGACTTTACAGGTGTGGTTTTTTTAAGGCAGAGAAGGAAACAGGCAACAGTGAATTACCCTTTGTGGTGCTACAAGTGTTTTCACCATGTCTCCTTTTTTTTCTAGTTCCACTGTTGCCCAGCCATCCGAGATGCCCCCATCTCCTCTGGTGTGGGAGTGATGGTGGAAGATAATGTACTACTGAAGATGTAATGTAGCTTTCCACTGGAGTCTGGGATTTGCAATTCTGGAGGTTAATCATGCTTGTACTGTAATTTTACTAATGAAGTTTTAAATTAACAACCACTACTTGTATGATATGAATAATAATTAGAAATGTTACTAGACTTTTAATCTTGTAAAGTGGTTGTGCTTTTAGAAGAAAAATATTTTACCCAGAGTTGCACTGTTTTATGAATTTAGTGCAGCTGTTATGGCTCACCTCAGAACAAAAGAGAATTGAACCAAATTTGGAAGTTTGGGGTTTTGTGTTTTTGTTTTGTTTTGTTTTTCGTTTCTTTTTTAATGAAGTGGGATTGTTCACACACGCACACGTGCGCACACACACACACACACACACACAGGACAGTCATACATTTTGATATTTGAGCCATTCCTGAAAATTATGGGTTTTCTAAAATGAAAAAATCTAGAAACCTTGCCTGCGACCAATCATGGAGCCACGTGAGCTGATCGTGGCCGCACCTGGGGGAGGGGGTGGGGCATGCCACCTAATGATCAAGCCCTATAATTAGCTTCTCATTAGAGCCGTGACGGTGATGTGTGCTGTCTAAAATCCAATGTTGTGGGTAGAAAGAATGAGTTTGTGACTAGGAGAGACTAAACTTCTGTTTTCCTTACCCAGTATAAATATATATAAATATATATATTTAATCTATTTTTATTAGAAGTTTTTCTGCTCTTTCTTACATAAAAGAACCCCCCAAGCATGCATCTTTCATGAGTGTAAATAATTCATTTCTGGGCTAATTTCAAAAGAATCCCAACATTGCTGTATAGAGAGAGAACTAGCTTGCACATTTTAGGTCTGTGAAATTTTGTGAGACTTTTCCTGCACTGGACAATAAAAAATAAAATAAAATAAAAGACAAAAACAAATTTTAAAGAAATTTAAAGCCACAAAAAAAAAAAAAAAAGGCACATAGGGAATTATGTCAAATGTGTTTGTGTCCTTAGGCAAAGCTGTGGGAGTCTTGAAATGTCACAGTAGTAAATAACTTATTACTTTTTGACAAATTCTTTTTTCTGTTGGAACACTGAATTCTTCTGTGCATATGTATATATGAATACAAATTGAAGGCCTCTACCTCCTGGAGTTATACAACTTGGCTTGTTTACCTCCACATGCTGATGATGACTATTTTTTTTTTTAAGTTCAATGTGGAGACTTGAAACTTGAATGTCCCTTCCAACTTTTATATTAAAAATAAAAAGAGAAGAAAACTGAAGATCGTTTTTCACCTGTACAAGGAATATTAATGGATCGTCTTAAAATTGGTCTAAAAAAAAACCTTGGTGTGTGTTATGGACAATTAACTGTTAAAGTTATTGTAAGTTATCTGTATTTAGCAGAGTATTTTCATCTTGAGTGATCTGAGCTGAATTTGAAGACTATTAATAAGTTATGTTTGGAAGTTTTAACTTCAATGAAGTAATTATTTGCTGTGAAAGAAACAAACATTGAATTACTAAACAAAGATGGTGCAATATCTTTGTTTCTTTTTTTTATGAGGCTCCTGAGAATCAACCCAACTGAAGCATTTCAATTCACTTGAATGAGAAACGTGTTTAGTATCAAAAGAGCCCAAGAAGACACTGGTGTGAAAGGTACAATCTCAGAGGTTGGTCAATTACCGTGGCACACGTATTGGTCACTTTGTACAATGTAGATTTGAAGTACAGTGGTGAAAACATTAAATGTGACATTTGAAGAAAACGTGTCATCTGTTTATTTCAGTTCCTCTTTTTTGTTTTCTCTTCAGTAAGCTTACTTATTGAATTTGATATCCTTGGGTGAGAATTAAAAAAAAAAAAAAAAAAAAAAAGATGTGAAATTTGCATGAATTTTTAAATTAAGGTAGCTTTTGGGGGGCTGTTTCCTGCTATGCTCTAGTAACATCCAGACCATCATGTTAGTAGATGGACACTTTTCAGGTCTTCTTTCCAGTATTTGACTCTACCTTTTTTTTTTTTTTTTTTTTTAATCCTCAGCTAAGGATATTTTTTACATTGACTTTTAGAGAGAGTCGAAGAGGGGGAGAGAAAGAGGATCATTGATGTGAGAGACACATCGATTGGATGCCTCCTGCAAGCACCCCAACTGGGGCCTGGGATGGCACCCCAACTGGGGCCTGGGATGGAGCCTGATCTGGGAAAGAACCAGAACCCCTGGGTGCACAGGTGACGCTGTAACCACTCAGCACACTGGCCAGGGCTCTGCCTTTCTCAAGCAGCCTTTCCTTGGCTTCTGTAACATTGCTTTTCTCCTCTTGGGAGCCACAACACTCCCTTACACTTCTGCCTAATGGTCACATGTCTGTTCCCTAGGCTAGGGGTCAGTCCAGGGTTCTATTCCTACTCTAAAACCGAGTTCTTGACTTAGGTGCTTGGTAGAATCACCTGGAGAAGTTTCAAAAAACCCAGAGCCTGGGCTGCATCCCAAACCAAATTAGGTCAGACTCTGGAAGCAGGGTCCGGCTTCCGTCTGTGTTGTCAGCTTTGTTTTGTGCGGCCGGGCCGGGTCTGAGATCCATGTTAGTCCCCATGTCCATCCCTCATGGTGACCTTTCCTGCCTCCCCCAGTCGCCATTCTGCTTCACAAAGGAAAGACATGCTTCTCACACCTTACATGTTCCTGGGGTGCAGCGTCCCTGCCTGCCAAGACGTTTTGGGTTGCCAGGTAAACGGACAATTGGAAATGGTTTTTGTTTATGAAGACCTCACCTCTTTCATCTCAGTAGTGTCACTGATCCTGAGAGAGAACCCTTTGAAAGTAAAGCAAGGAGCATTAGGAGGAAGTATTGAGACTGGCAGTATTTTATTTTGCTCAGGAAACAAATTCATGGTACAGCTCTGACTTAAGATTCAAAAGAGTTTTGTGGGGTGTGGGTGTGGGTGTGGGTGTAGATGTGTGTGGGTGTTAACAGAAATGTATAAGAATGAAGCCAGACTTTCAACAGAAGGTAAATCAGTTTTGACTGCTTGGTTTGCCAATGAAGATTTTTTTATTAGTTTATATGGTAGACATTTTTCCATAATTAGAATTAGGTGGAATCTGCAGCTACAAAGTTCTGATAAAAGCATATTTAAAGGGATATAGTTAAAAATTATTTTAAAAATTATTGGCGAAAATGAGAACTTGGAACCTTTGTGCGTTGCTCATGGCATGTAAAGTGGTGCAGCCACTGTGGAAAGTGTGGTGGTCCCTCAAAAAAATGAGAATTACCCTTTGGCCCAGCAATTTCATTTTGAGATCTATACATAAAAGAATTGAAAGCAAGCATCCAGATATCTGTGCATCAGTGTTCATAGTAGCATTATTCACAGTAACCAAAGATGGGAACAACCCAAATGTCGATTGATGGATGAATAAACAAAATGTACATACATACAATGGATTGTTATTCTGGCTTAAAAAGGAAGGAAATGCTGATACATGGATGAAACTTAAAATAAGGCAGACACAAAAAACAAATCTTGCATGATTCTACTTATATGAGGTACCTAAAATAGCCAAATTCATAGGTAGAAAGTAATAAATAGTATAATAGTGGTTTCCAGGGGAGGGTTGGGTGGGAGTGTTTATGAGTACCGAATTTCAGTTGGGGGAGATGAAAAACCTCTGGAGATGGACGGTGGTAATAGAGCCCAACAATGTGAATGTACTTAATGCCTCTCAACTATACACTTAAAATGGTAAATGTATGTATATTTTACCACAGTTTAAATAGATAAAGCTGTACTGTCCCAGAATTGGAAAGATGTATCAATACATAATCAATATATGTTCAGTCTCCCTTTTCTAAATAGTAAAAACATTTAAGGACATAAAATGAATTGACTGTAAATATAAGGATTGATTTCTGGACTCTATTCCTCTGATCTGTGCCACTTACTACACTGTCTTGATTACTGTAGTTTTGCAGTAAGCTTTGAAGTCAAGAAGTGTAAGTACTACAACTTTGTTCTTTTTCACGGTTATTTTGGCTCTTCTTAGTGCCTTGCATTTATTTCCACATGAATTTTAGAGACTTTCCACAAAAAGGCCAGCTGAAATTTTGATAGGGACTGCATTGACTCTGTAGATAAATTTGGGGAATATTGCCATTTTTACAATATTAAATCTTTTTTTTTTTAATATATTTTATTGATATTTTACAGAGAGGAAGAGAGAGGGATAGAGAGTTAGAAACATCGATGAGAGAGAATCATCGATCAGCTGCCTCTTGCACACCCCCTACCGGGGATGTGCCCGCAACCAAGGTACATGCCCTTGACCGGAATCGAACCTGGGACCTTTCAGTCCACAGGCCAACGCTTTATCCACTGAGCCAAACCGGTCTTGGCATACAATATTAAATCTTTTAATCTATGAACATGGGGTATCTCCATTTAATTTAGCTCTTCTTTCCTTTAACGTTGTGTAGTTTTCAGGAACAAGTCTTCCACTTTCTTAAGTCTATTCCCAAGTAATAATTTTTTATGGAATTGTTTTTCTTAATTTCATTTTCATATTGTTCGTTGCTAATATATAAAAATACAATTGATTTTTGCACATTGATATTTATTCTACATCCTGGCTGAACTCTTTGATTAGTTCTCAGGTTTTTTTTAAATATATTCTTCTTAGGATTTTGTAATGAAGTTTAATATCTCTAGAAAACATTGTAATCTAAAAATTATATATAAAGCTTATCTGGGGTTTTTTTCCTGAGGGTAAAAGGAATAATTAAAATGTTTCTGTTTCATTAAAAAAACAAAAAGACATTAATGATGGCATTTATTAAGAAGAAAACTTTTTGTTTATTGAGAGCAGTTAGGCTTGGCCAAAAACTCTTTATTGTAAAAGACATCAAACCTGTTGAGAAGTAGAAAGAAATAGTATAGTGAAAATCCATATACCCTTCCCCTATATTCACCATTTAAACAATTGCCAAATTG